ATAAAATAAACAAACACAAAATAGCACGACAGCCCCTCGCGGACGACTGTCCCGCACAAACAAAATCAAAAAACAAAATAAAATCCAGGCATGGTCCTCTCTCGTCCAACACTGTCGTCACTCCTCCTTTTATGCTTCCGGAGCTCCTCCGTGGGACTCGAGACCGGTGAGTGCCGCAGGTGTCGTGCATTAGCATTTACTCCACCGGCCTCGCTCCGTTCCCACGGCTCTCGGCCCCGCCCCACTTGTCACAATATACATTTACCATTTTACCAGTTCAGAACGTAGAGATAACTTACAGGAAACTTGTGACTCAAAACCTTGTAGTTTTAGTGCGGTCTTTGTGACAACTAGCCTCAAGTATATGGCCAATCTAGTGAACTGTTCTTTTCAAATAAAATACAGTGTTACTACATGCTACCAAGTGGCAGTAGGGATGAGCAGAGATAATTTTATTTCACTCTTGAGTTTTAATGCTAGATATTGAAACAACGAATATGCAGTCACTCACTTGTTTCTGTGGTCCGTCCCAGATTCCCTGGATGTAAACTGATATAGTCTTGTTCTGCCCTCCCACTGGCAGGAATATTGGAAAGGAGAGAGAGCAAGACACCCCATGGTGACAGCCTGTCTGGACAGCCCCATTTTTACAAGTCCCCTTGTGACTACGCCTCACTCCTCACTCGCCTCCACACACGTGCACCCAAACATCTCATATACACACTGATAATGGCATGCATATACGTATGCCATGTACAGATACAAACATCCACATACTGCCATATTGTATTTGCACACATACCTACAATGATACCAGCTGTGTGGATGATCCAATTACAGTCAATCTTCTGGTCTCACAGCTGTGGTGGGTATAGTGATGTCCATGTCTGACACACACATAATCAGCATAGGCTCATTGGAAAACGTCCCTCTACATACATTTTTTGCAAAACTCCAAACATGTACCTACACATACAATTCAATGCAATTTCCAGCTGAAATACTGACAATAGTGGCAGTAAAACGCCAATAACATATTCCTGTTCACACAAATTATGATTAAAGTGGCAGATTATAGATTCGAAGACTTATTTTCACATGGTTCCTTGCCTCAAACAAACAGCTCCAAATCTATGGCTTTTCTGACATAGTAAAATTGCACAGTAGCGCACCTGGTACATCATTGCACTTGTAATGCAAAGCACACGGGTACGAGTCCTGTTTGCTTTTCTTAAAACTATCGGTTAGGGCTGGACGATATGGCCAAAATTGATATCACGATATATTTCTTAATTTCGGTCGATACGATATGATTCCGATATCGATATGAACACTATTTATCTGAAATAGAAATCTTTTGTAACATTATAAATGCCTTTATCATCAATTTTAAGCATCCTTGCTAAATAAAAGTATTAATTTCTATAATTTCTTTCCCCAAAAAATAATAACAATTATATCTGAATGGAATAGTGTATAATGATACAAAAGCTTTTTATTTCAGATAAATGCTGATCTTTGGATCTTTCTATACATCAAAGAATCCTGAAAAAA